GCTGCGTCACCCTCGGTATCTATGGAGGACATCAGAGAAATGCTTCCTGTCTTGAATCGTCAGATAGCATCGGGGTAGCTCAGACCTGACAATAACAAGCACTGGAGATAAAAGCTCAACCCTGAGGCGGAGCACAAATACAGAAAGTAAAACCATAGCACCATGTGAGGATTAATGCCTGAGTCATTTTCTCTCGCTGAGATTAAATCTGCCAGGATTATTTAAAGGGTACATCTCTTTCATTACATGTTGGGTCTTATTTTAGTCATTTTTGGCAACCATTCCTACCAACAACAATAGCATTTTAAGCACAAATGTCTGGGATCATCTGGGAAGGAGGCAACTGTGGATAAGTGGATAGCAGGGCTGTCCTTCAATCAGAGGATCGGTGGTTCGATCCCCGGCTGCGGGCCCCCCCTGTAGATGTGCCTACGGTGTAGAAATGTGATAGAATATGACTTGGAATCTGACTTGTTTGGATAAAAGCGTCTGTTAAGCGACTGTTATGTAATGACTTTGCACATGGGTCAAGAAACACAAGCAATCAGACAACAAGAACAAACCCCAAGATTTGCTAAATGTATTTGAAAGAAAAATGATATAAATACCTTTGTGTCTTTTGACCACTTGTTTCACATAGAATCAAATAATAGTCATTTTTTCAACATTTCATTAAATATGTGTTTAAGTCGAAGTCTTGAAAAGTCTTGAATTGAGTTTAATCTAACAAGGTCTTACAAGGTGTTAAAAGGTTTTACATTTGATTGGTTCAGGTATTAAGTAACATAAAATGTCGTCGTGCTGGTGAAAGGTTGTGACATTATCAACCTACAAGTGTGATTGACAGTGGATTGGTACAGGAGGCTGGTGAATCTTTCTGTGTGGACCTTTAGTCAGCACCATCAGATAGCCCTGTCGCTGTTGCTAGCTAGTGCTAGTGCTGATTTTAGTGAAATCAAGCACTACTACTACTTATGCCAGGAATCACTTAGACCCAGGGCTTACTTTGTGCCCAAACAGGATCCAAGACCTCTCGGTTTTTTGACTACCTGCTGGAACTTCACCCTCCTAAGCTCGGGACGATGGGGCTGGCGGATTGCACTCTGTCACCAAATCACACTTAGACTTTGAGTTTCATTTATAACATCTTTGTAATATCATTGACAACTTATTGACTTATTAATGTTGGAGCATTTTGCTGGCATTGTTCATTATATTATTCAGATTTGTTATTATTTAGAGCTGGGAAGTAATGAAAAAGATGTGATCTAAATGTGAGCAAATAAAATAAAGAATCCTTGGCTTTGTCATTCCTACTGGTTTTGTCTCATACTTTGGCCATCATGACCATTACGTTGGTATTTAATTGCATTCTTTGTGGTAGTAAAAAGGTCTTAAATGTCTTGAAATGAACCCTGGTAATCCTGCAGAAACCTTGTCCTATTTGTGTATTCTGTAAACATCCATCACAGTTTATATCCTGTCTGGTTGAACTTTGACCGGCCGTACTGAACGTAGGTGTGTGCTCAGTTTCCCTGTGTTGTGAAGAATTATCACTGACACTTAAGGTGCGCTTACTTTTGGTTTTACCGTGCGGTTTGGATAATCTGGCTAATCTGGCTGGCTTGTTTACTGCCTGTGTACGGACTGCAGTTTTGATGCCTTAAGATCAGCATTTTGGCTGTTGCCATCTTGTTTTTTTGTTTTTTTAAGACGTAACCATATTTGGACTTCAGTGGAGTTATCTATAGATGCTGTATACAGCTCTGGTTGCGACCTGTAAATCACAATCTTGCCCCGCCCTAAAGCATACTCTGCTTTATGGTCTATTTGACTCTAAATGGACCATCATTTACCAAATGAACATCATGCTGTATTGAAGAAGACTTGAAACTAGAGATTGAGTCCATAAACTCATGTTTACAATGTTTACTGAGGTAATAAATCAAGAGAGAAGTAGTCATTTTCTCATAGACTTCTATACAATCAGACTTCTTTTTGCAACCAGAGGAGTCGCCCCCTGCTGGCCATTAGAGAGAATGCAAGTTTAAGGCACTTCCTCATTGGCTTCTCTTTTCACAGAGCCCCCTGTTTAAATCCCTCTTGTAACTGTACACCACGAATACTCCGTTTCACTGTCAAACAAGTCACAGTACAGAAGCTAAAGACACCCTAACTTCCGTTTCACTGGGACTTTAAACCTACCTCAGCCTCTACCTGAGGTTGCTCACCACAATGCTGTGGCTTAATGGTGTTGGCACTGGAGCCAATGGACAGCTCAGGAACAGGATGGAGGAAGAGTTACAGCTGGAGGATTAGCAGAGATAAGCTGAATAACTGCACACTGGTCAGTGGGGCTACCACGACACAACATAAACACTGAACAGACCCAATGCCATATGGTCATCAACATCACATAAGCATCTGCCAGCTCCAAACTCTGCCGCCTGCTGGATTTATATTATATGTGTGTATGATTGCTAATGGGCGAACAAATGTATGGATGCTTGCATGCGACCGGTATTTGTCTTTCAGTAAATAATGTGGGCTGCGTACTCTACCCCTGTCAGGAGCAACATGCATGTGCATCATGGGAGCCAGTGGTTGGTTAAATTAACCCTCTCTCTCTCTCTCTCTCTCTCTCTCTCTCTCTCTCTCTCTCTCTCTCTCTCTCTCGGAGAGGCTGAGAGGGCAGGGCCACGGGCTCCCTCCTAAGGCCACACGTGGGTTGGTTCTGAGTTTAGGGATTACAGGGCTGAACTGGAGCCAAACAGCTTTACAGCAGACAGCCAGAGACACGGCCAGCCTGCAGTGCTGAGCCGGGGTCTGGGCCTCCACCAGTTTGAGGTGTGGGGTGATGCAGCTGGGAGGCCGGCCAGAGCGTGAGGAGGAGTCGAGGCCTACATCATTGTTTTATTGTCAAAATGCACTTATTCCCCAGTGTCTGTAAACAGGACATGACTCATGCAAGGGGAGATCATTATAAACGTGCTGACATGTTATTTGTGTGCCCTATGCACATGTGAAAACATGCTCCAAGTTGGTGGAGGGTAATGGAAAACAGCATTAATGACTGCAGTAAGTTGTTTAAATAGCGTGCCTGTTATTTGAGTACATTTACATTTCCTACATTGTTTTGCCACCATTAACCACAGGTGTCATCTTTAATTTGCTTGTTTTGTACATCCAACATCAGGGCTGGACATCGTAGAATAGAACATTACAAATTCCAGTACCTCTAAAGTGATACCGATACAAATGGACTTCCTACTTCATTGATACCCATCATGTGAATGGAAGCGGTTTGTGTGTGTGTGTGTGTGTGTGTGTGTGTGTGTGTGTGTGTCTGTGTGTGTGCGTCCCACTGGCTAGCAATCATCACCGAGCTCATACAGCGGTAACCGCTGACAACGCAGACCCATGGTGGGCGGGACTGCATAGGAGCGGAAGCGCAACGCCCAACGTCCGCTCGCTTTGTCAGCACCGTTGCCGTTGTAAGCACTGTGCACTGTTAGCGCTCTCTGCGCTGTTCAAAAACTGGAGAAGGTTCCATACAACTTGGTAATGGGTGATGAACTCTTTCAGCACTACAGCATTGATTAAAGATTGTGTCCCGTCATGTGACCTCGAATGTAGGAGGAGGTGAGCAGGGAGGGGTGGAGACATGTGGACATTGTAGATGGAGGCAGTCTTTACTGGTGGTTATAGTTGGACCGGAGCTGTGCAGCCTGCTGAGGAGCAGCAAGTGATGTAGGGATTAATACAAGGACAAGCGTTCCTACTGGTGAAACTTGTCTGTAATACAAACCTTTCAAAGATCCATCTGGTGTTGAGTTGCCTCTCTATAAACTCACTCAAACAGCAACTCGATCAGAAATATTCAACTACTCTAGAAGGACCAGCTGTTTAGGCATTCCTGGCTATTTAAGTGTGACCGAATTAACACACAGTTAGGCGCATAACAATCAATGCAGTGACATGTGCACACAGTCATCTGAATAATAAAAACACAATATTCAGCTTCTAAATGTTGTCATTTTGAGTCATCTCAACAAATGTTTTTTGATATTTATGTCATGTACAGCCTACACAAGTTGTTACTCACAGAAACCTGGCACACTGAGTCCAAAGCTTTTTATTATTTGCTGTGGAAATTTGCATTAGAAATAAAAACTAAATTAATGACGTGGTTGCCAAACGGGGCTAACGAACGAGAAAACGTAAGCACTAACCTGCCATTTTCTTTTTTAGTATTTGTTAGTCTTTCCACTGTTGCAACAATCTCTAACTCTGGTTTAAGAGTTTGAAAGAGAGACTGAATGAAACATGTAAAAAAAAAAAAATCACTCCTCTCCTAACTACTGTACAGTCTGGCTGGTCACTGTAAAGATAGAGACGAGAGAGACAAAAATAACCCCACAGTCTAATCAAAGGCAGCTGTCTCAAATGCTCAAAAGCTCTCTGCAATCAAACAGATGTAGTGGCTGTTAACTGCTGCTGCTTTACCTTAAGCTGCACGGTCATCATTAATGCTAAAGGGAACCAACTGTCTTTGATAGTGCTGTAGGGCGGGCTCAGTATTTAAATTAGTGTGTACCTAAAATTGGATTGGACCATGGAGTCAAGACTTTGTAGCAATTTCATGTTTCAGTTCAGGTTTTTAACAGTGGCGACAGCAATTCTGGTATAGTTTTTAGTAATCTTGCCCAAATGTGATCCTGGAGACCCCCACTGTACACGGAACTACCACAGAAGAGGTTTGAGTTCTTTGGCAGGTGTTTATATTTCTGTCTTTGATCTCAACTACATAGATGTGTGGAGATGGGCATGATTCCAGCAACGGGGGCCACTTTACGCCCCTCGCCCTATTTGGCGTCACTACATTGTACAGATGTGTTGTTGGGATCAAAATGAAGGCCGAATTCAAAGATGGGTTTGATCTGAGCAAGGGCGACGGAAGGGAGGGGATAGTAAGTGGGGAAGGGGCCATTGGCAACCCCACGGCAGCGCCATGGTTAACATCGCCCAGAGTTGCACTTCCACAATGGCCGGTAAGGGAATTTCTGTCCTCATTTGTCCTCTGAGAGACCATCTTAACTCCTTTTATAATTAACTATACTGGGCTCTACATTCTCAGCATCTCTCTTTGCTGCACTTTACGTGAACCGTCACCATGTGGGAAACATTTAGCTCCTTTTGATTAAGCTCTGTAATGGCCCATAAGAGAGGCATTCTGTTCCAGCTTATCGTATACTGTAATTAGGATTATTTTCCTTGTTATATAGAGTCGTTAAGAATTTGTTTCCTTGAGGCATGTTTGCAGCAAAGATCCTCAGACGTTACAGTGCAGAATCAGAACTTTGGATCTCTACCCAAACCTATTAGCTGTGTTATCTCCTTCTTTACGCTGCATGGTTGCTTTGGTTTCGATAACATCCTTGGCCCACTTGATACACGCCCGTTGTTTGGGTGATGATGTCATTATATGGAAATGGATAGGGGCCGAGGCAGGGGAATAGGAGGGGGGGGGCGGGAATCACCCTGAACATCAGCACCCTGAACATCAGCACACAGATGGGAGTGGATGGGAGTCAAACATTCCTTGTAAACTTTATTTGTTTAAAGAATAGCTCGGCGGGTCGGCTGGCCGAGCAGCTGTTGCTTGTTCTGCATTGAAGACCGTGGTAGTGATAGTATCATTTTAAGCACTCTTTTGAGGCCTTTGATTAGCAGTTGTAAAGTAGTGATAATCGGACACGGTATGTGTCATCCATGTGAAGCTGTAGGCTGAAATGTGAGGACAGTTTTACCGAGGTAAAGCTCACAGCAGCCGTGCCTCCACAGCTAATATGGTACATCCAGGTGGTTTCCCCAGAACTTTTCCTCACCGCATAGATTCTCTTGTTATAAATAAAGCCCATCTGATGATATCACCACCGGGGCTTGTTCAATCTTCTGTTGTTGTGCTTCTTACTTGCTGCCCCTTCCTGTTTAAATTAAGACCCTCCTCATCTGTGGGGCACCAGGGCTCCCGCTGCCACACGACCCAGTTTCCTCTGGAGGAACTCCCTCCCCTCTTCCTGTGAACGCCCCTCCTCACAAGTCTCCGAAGGGAGGCCAGAGCTAAAGAGGTGTCCAAGGGTGAGGAGCTTCATTTAAGCTCGGGGATGGAGGCACGGAGGAAAGGGTGGTGATGGGCCTGGAGTATAGAGGGACTAAGTAGGCAACATGTGGTGTCTGCAGTGTGCCTCGGACAGGTCCTTGCTGGAGCTGGAATCAGACAGCTGGTAAGCCCAATTTGTGTGTCCCTGCTGGTGGTTGAGTGTGTGCAGAAGTCGCTACTTACTCTCTGATTTGGCTCCGAATTTGTCTCGTGAGGCAGGTTGTACATTTCACTGATGGTCCTTCCTGTATTCGGGGACCGCTGCCAGACTCAACTGAGATCAATAGGGAAAGAATTTATGAATTGATGTTACTCCTTATTGGATGAGTTGCCTTTAATGCAGTGGGTTTTGTGCCGGACCAGAGCTGCTGATGAAATTAATTTGTGATACAGCAAAGGATTGGGCTCCATTGATGAGCCGGTAGCTCATTTTCCGTCTGCGTGCCCAACAAGTGAATGCAGCTGAATCATATTTTACGGTTCCTCCTCTGGTGTCCTCTAACTCGACTTTAATCATCTTAAACAGATTCTGAAGAGTCACTCAAACGTGAACAACACGCGTGACAGTCAGTGTGAGTCCATAGCAAAACAAAGACAAGCGAGCGACACAGCAAGAACAGGCTCCTCTTGGCGAGGCCGCTCAGCGGCACCAAGAGGGCGTCTCCAGGGGAGGTGTTGACACCAGAGCTGTCCTCGCATCACCTGCCCCCTCCGCCGGATCCATCGCATCACCCTCCACTAAAATCATTAAAATTGTATCAGCCAGCAATTTATGCACCGTCATGGTGTGCCCGGGCCCTTTTGTGGGTTTCTCTAATGAAATGCTGTCTCCGCCGCGTGTGAAAGGAGTAGTCAACGTTGATTTATTCGATTACATCTTTTCCTCAACCTAACTAAGTATTTCATAATGTTTTCCTTGACATAACTCAGTAGTTTTGTTGCATAAACCTTTCTAAGTTGTTTCCTGTGTTGATAGAAGTTTATTTTGAAAAGACTGTATGGATGTAACCAATGGAAATTGACATGTGTTGCTGGATTTTTTTAGGAAAACGGACAAAAAGTTTGAAGTTACTTCTTCGTAAGATCTCATAAGAACCGTTGTGTGAACATGTTTTGGGAGGTTAAACAAAGTGGACATCTACCAGTCTCATTGAGTTACATTATGGCAAGTATATGTTCTGGGGTTTTTGGAGGTTGACCATAAAACCCTGAATAGGTCAGAATAACCATACTTTTTTTTTCATGCGCCTTCTCAAGATATTAAAAAATAATAATTCCGACATCAAACTAATCACAACAAGGTTGTTTTGGAGAGAGGCAGACTTCTCTACTGTAACACTATCTAACTCTATAACACTCTGCAACTCATACTAAAGCAATCTAGATTAATAAATAGCACTAAAGGGAAGAGGAAACCCGTTAAACCACGTCACTGTCTTGTAATTCCAAAGTGACACATTGTAAACAAGTGGAATTTGTTTCAAGGACTTTGAGATATAGAGCTTTGATCTGTAATAGAGATTAAAAGATGGACATTGACGGAAGAGAGATCTCTGTAAAGCCCTTCTGACACCAAGTTTGCTTGTGTGTGATTGAGGTAAATCATACATTATGAACCTCCCTGGTGAATGGTTTGGATCATGTCTTCACACAGGAAACCTTAATGGAAGACTTTGTAGTAGGCGTGGTGCTGTGTCGAGTCGGGATAGAAGAGGAAGCACATTTTCTCATAATATTATGATGACATCTCATTGCAGCAATAGAGGTCAAACCCATTTTCTGTCAATGTGATGTTCATTCCCAGTTTGTTCTCAACGAGGATCCCTCTGTCCCGAATTTGATTTGAATGAGGCTGGATGAATGCTTGGCACAGACTGTAGAAGGCTCTCAGTTAGTCGACAGGTCTGAACGAAGTCATCTCACTCTCTCCCCACAGTCTAGGGGAATTGGATCAGTAACGCTTTGACCGCTGGGGTGACTCAACCTCTGTGCTGCAGGAAGAAGAGCGGGTTCATACATATTGAAATATAAAGTCTCTCTTGTATTTGTTACTCAACCACCCTTCCCAAGAGCAGCTGTTTGTCTTGTCATGTTCTCTGAGTTATTTTAAACACATTGCATGGTTCTTTATTGTGTAACTAAGAGCAGAACATCTTGTTCAGTAACTCAACAAAACCCCTGCTTGACAACGCTTTCAGTCTGAGTGCCGAGAGGCATCTGCCTACTCCTGCATTGCTTTGAGTGCCACATTTCAAGTATGCTGAGCCTCCCTTCCATCCAAACGAACGGACTTTTCCAATTAGACGGCCTCTGCTGGAGCATACGTATTAAGGCCCGCCTTTCAGTCTAATTAAAGGACTGCTTCTGTCTGATTTCAATTTGTTCCTTTTGGGGAAAAAAATGTGTCGAGATGATTCACAAGGAGGAGATTGAAGATGCAGAGAGGGATTTTATAATGAGCATCGAGAGTTTGGCTCAGAGAGGGACAACGTTTTCTCGACAGAGAGATGTTATCCCATGACAGAGCCTGAGCACTTTGACTTGGCTGTAAGGTAACAAGTCCTACAGAACAACATTGGTTGTTTCCAGGCGCAACCTCTGGTTCTGCCAAGTGAAGCCGATGCGGAAGTGTCTTAAAACGTGCATTCTCTCTACTGGCCATCAGGGGGCGACTTCTCCGGTTGTATAGAAGTCTATGAGAAATTGACTCTACTTCTCTCTTGATTTATTATCTCAGTAAACATTGTAATCATGAGTTTATGGTCTCAATCTATAGTCTCAAGTCTTCTTCAATACAGCATGATGTTCATTTAGTAAATTATGGTCCATTTAGAGTCAAATAGACCATAAAGCAGAGTATGCTTTAGGGCGGGCTTACTGTGATTGACAGGTTGCTGGCGCTACCAGAGCCGTATCTGGTGTCTCTACGTCACTCCTCCGCATTCCAAATATGGTCACTTCTGTTCAATGGTTGCAAAAAATGCCAAGATGACCAAGGCCAAATCGTCGAACTTGAGGCGTCATTACAGCAGTCCACAAACCAATAGGTGACGTCACCATGACTACGTCCACTTCTTATATACAGTCTATGGTTGTTTCTCATGGCCTTGAAAAATAGCTCTCGTATCAGTGCCTTCCTTTAAAAATAACATTTAACTGTTCTGATCAGCCTCAGCTATGGGTAAGGCTCTGTTGCTTTTAGGTATAAAGGTGACATGGTTAAGGTTTGGAAAATGTTGCAGTCTTCTAACTGTATGACTGCAAACTGTATATAACTCCTTATATCTGATATAGGGAATTTGAAGAGCAGTGGTTTCATTTGCCTAAACCTTAAGTTGACAACGATACATTTCACTATCATGTTCACATTTTGGTATGTGCAGTTTGGCCTGTCTGAGGCATTAGAGTGGTAGTGGTAACCACTGATAATGTCCATTCAGTCGGCTGATAACATGAGAAATGGGTGGCAACCTCTGGTGTAGATTATGCCTTCGAGGTCCTCCTCATTCACAAAGAAAATGTACAACGTGGCTGCTTTCGCATGTGTAGTTTCTATTGTTCACTGGATATCAACTGTGTTTGAATGATATATACTGAATATAAGCACTTTTATTCAGTGGTAATCTGTTTGCGCAAGCCGATGACAGACCTCATTTATTACCTCTCGTTCCACCTTGCATGCACGATGTAGGCCTATTCGGTGCTTGCAGCCTCTTCTGGACATCAAATCTCTTTCTTATTAAAGGTTTTATTTCAGCCTTTATTATCTAACCTTGACACATACTACCATACAGTGATAGATGCCTCCAGAGGGATGTCCTTGTTCTGAGCCGTTCCGCTTCATCCATCAGCCGGTGACAAAGAAAATGAAATGTATTTTGCTAAAGACAGTTGCTTCAAGGTAAAAACAAATCTCACATTTCCACCATGGATTGTAATTGAGGGGTCAGAACTACATAATAGTGCCTTGTTTTATGAATGGGAGACATTGACACAAGGTCAGAAGGTACGATAGGCCTACATCCTGTAGCACTGAGTTTATTGTCTTCATCACTTTTTATTAGCTGGCTTCTAATGTATTTCATTGAGCTGATGTCTGTATATAATACTCACTTAAGTCTTTCTATATCTCGGCATTCAGTTCTACTTCTGTACAAAAAAATAGGCTCAACTTCTCAGAATCAAAGGTTTCTGTCTCTGGAGAGGCGACAGCTTGTTATCTCGCACATTCAAAAAGCATCACATCAGTTAGATTCTTTCTTTTTTTTTCCTTCCAGTGGCCTTTGATTCCCCAAAGTAGTAGCTATTGAGCTGTGTCCAAGTACCAGAACACTTTATCCCTCTCAGCCAACCCCACCAGTGTCTCAGAGGTGTGGAGGGAAGTGAATAGATCTGCGGTTGACATTTAGCCGCTGCAGTCCGGTGGGGCGTGGCTGCTCGTTGCTCCACACTGCCGGGGGGTTTCATCCAACCAGCTTCTTCCGCGTTGGCGTTTGTGCCGCTGCGAGCAGACAAAGATCCTTATTGATCTTAATAGCGCTGCCTCGCATGCTTTGATCGCTCCTCACATTGTGCGTGCTGTTTTGATTGAGATTGTAGAGATGGAGCTGCTGATAATGTTGTTGTGATTTCAGTGTTACTCATAGGCGTTTAATTTTACTCTTATCAAGATGCAGTGGTAGGGTCTTTCTGCTGATTAGGATGACTCAATGTGTGTTCTGCATTGTGAAGGGGAATGTTTAAAGACAGCACACATAGTTATGGCCCTCCCAGAGGTATCAAAGTTCCCTTCTCCCCATCCGTCACGTGCCTCTCGCCGAATCACAAAGCAGTGCATGCCGGACAGTGACTCAGCGAACTAACCCCAGTGTGCTCCTTGCGTTGCAGTGTGGAAGGTGATGCTGCAGGCAGCGAAGTGGGCGCCTCTGTGGACCCCAGCAGCGGATACAGTTGTATCCCAGTGACCCACAGCGGCGGGCTGGGCCCCGACCACCTGGACAGCCAGCTCTACGGACACATCCTGCTGCCCGGCCACCTGCGGCCCCGCCGACCCAAGCTCCAGCACTCCCAGTCCATCCTCCGCAAGCAGGCCGAGGAGGAGGCCATCAAGCGCTCCCGCTCGCTGTCGGAGAGCTATGAACTCTCGTCGGACCTGCAGGACAAGCAGGTGAGGGGGGGGGGACAACTTCTGTCTGTAAAAACCTAATATAAATCTGGGTGACAAAAAATGACTGTGTAATCTTCGCCAGGTGTAAGCCTGTGGGCAGATTCAGTCACGTCTGTGTGATCTGTCCGTCTGTCCGCAGTTAATCCCGTCATACTGCTGGACCCATCAGCATAATCATTTGTATTGCTCATATATGACTGTATGCTCAAGGTCCTCTCTTGGTTTTGAAGAACCTACTTAATTGAACATTTAACACCGTCATTGACTGCTGACTCCTCATTCCTCTTAACCAGCCGGAAGCGGATGCAAACTCCACAACTGTAGCAAAAGATATTTCTGGCTAGGCTAAAAACAGCCTGTTTTAGGCCACATTCTGGCCTTTTTCATGGCTCAAAACTGAAAAAAAGTTTGATATGATCTTAAGATTCGTTATGATTCACTTATGTTAGACACAATACAAGATAAATAAAAAACCTGCACTCTACGAAGTGAACTTTTCTAGTTTAAAATGTGTCGTTTGTAGTAAGTCTGCAGTGTCTTTTAACACTACAGATCGTTTTAGCATCTTGTAGCTCATTGTTTTGGTTTCCAGCCCGCAACTGTTCTGTCTTGGTTCAGTCTCGGCACTCTCATCGACCTCAAGCAGCAGCAGACAGCTGTTTCCAGTAAAAGAAACCACCGTAGACACCGCAACGCACAAAGTTAGCAGCTGGTTAACATGGTGGAGCATTTAGCAGCTAAAGAGAAGGGGTTACTGGGTCCCAAAACAGAAGAGTGAATTGGACTTGCAATTGTCAGGTCGCCAGAAACACGACCAAATGCTGATGTTGCTATGTGGCTTCTGGGTATAAATAGAGGACTATTTGCTTACATGTTAGCCATAACAACCTTACTAGGTGATAATATGTCATTGAAAAAAAAATGGTTTGCGAACTAGTTCTATGTAGTTGCATGGACACTTCAAAACAGCACACAATTGATTTGTTCCTGCCATAATACTTGACCTGCATACACGGACAGAGGAACATAGCTCAGACCGGAACGGATCCAAAAAGGACCCACTTGGACCAGATTCAGCCACTCCTGTGGATAATTAGATTTGATGGAAAATGTGGTCAGCCCAAAAAGTCCCAAACAGGGAGAGATGCTCCGCCAATTAATGAAAAGACAGAGTTGAAAAAGGGAGCAATAGATTTTCTCTGCTCTTCACAGTTCACACGTCTGCGAGTCCTCTTGGATCCATTTGGGTATTACACATACAGACCTGAGACCTGCAGCAATAGGCCCACAATAGGACAGTACTATGAACCCGTTGGACCCATGAAGATCTCAAGGGCGAGGTCACAGTTTAGTAACAGTCAGATGACTTCATACATGGTCAAAATGTAACACCCTTTTGAATTAATAATTGGAAACATGTACAACAAACTGCCAACATCATGAATTGCAAGAAAATTGTCGAACATGTTTATTGCATCTTTACCTTTTTTATAGATATGACAATACCTGAAGGTTAATATTATATTACCTGTTACTACAAGCTGTAGAGCTGCCCATGGTGGTCAAATAAAAGTCATATAACAACAGGACATTGGCCCTCTCGTTAAGCAGTGAAGATTCTGTTGTGGTCCATGTCCCTTGAGGGAAGTGTGAGTCCACCGACTCCCTTGGTCCTCACATGGTGCAAGGAAGCATGATTAGTGTCATTCTACTCCATGAGTCAATGGGTGGAAAACTGGGTCAGTGTGTAAAAGGCGCAGGGGCCTTGGACAGCGTATTAATAATATTAATAAAATCATTAATAATATCTGTCATTTCAGTTTAGTGTACACTATGTAATATACTGTACACCCGACTGATTCATTTTCATCCTTCTTTTAATGAACGGTATTTAACAGTGCAGCTCACACTATTAATTCATCTATATTTTAGTACTTAGTCTTGAATACTTAATTTGTGGTCTCTTTTTGCAAATGTTTTAATGTCCAACAGTCCCCGACTATAATCATATTTAATAATCATATTAACTACCTTTTTTTCTGTATCTGGCTCAGTCATCATCGCATGACTAGTATCACATGACCAAAGTTCCATACTAAGATGAACTAAGTGAGCCATCTCAGTGGCGACTTAGGAAATGTGCTCATGAAGACTGTGAGATGTGGTTAACAGGTCCAGAGAATCTAAGTGGAACTTGACTTTCCATTATTTTGTCAAACTACTATTTCCAAGCACAAGAATAAACATTCTCTCTCATGCAAATGTTTGACACTACAAAATATTCTAGGTGAAGTATTACTTCCAATAAAATCCAAAATACAGCCCCTCTCAGCATACTGTGTGTCCATCATCCCTGTTTTCACCTAGGATCACTATCACCAGTTGTCGCATTGCGGAGAACATTCGCAAGGTGGAATTGCCATTACAACGCTGCTAAGGGAATATGTCGGCTTTCCTCAGTTGTTTCTCAGATACGTTTATTTTACGTAATTTTCCTTCTCTATATGCAGGTGGAGATGCTAGAGCGTAAATATGGTGGGCGTTTCATAACCCGGCATGCAGCCCGCACCATCCAGACAGCCTTCCGCCATTACCAGATGAACAAGAACTTTGAGCGTCTAAGAAGTTCTATGTCTGAGAACCGTATGTCCAGACGGATCGTCCTATCCAATATGAGAATGCAGTTTTCCTTTGAAGGACCTGAAAAAGTCCACAGCTCCTACTTCGAGGGAAAGCAGGTCTCGCTAACCGATGACGGCACCAAAATCGGTGCACTGGTGCAGTCGGAGCACGGTGGGGAGATGGGCATGCAGGCCAAGACCCCCACCACGCAGAGCGACTTCACAGACGCTATCACAGAACTAGAAGATGCCTTCTCCAGGCAGGTCAAATCTCTAGCTGAGTCCATAGATGATGCGCTAAACTGTCGCAGTCTGCATGGTGACGACAACCAGTCGGAGCCAGGGAGAGGCCACCAGGACATGGACAGGGAGGTCAGCTGCCAGGTGAAACCCTCCCACGGCGCTTCGGAACACCGCAAACTGGATGAGATGACGGCGTCTTACAGCGATGTCACCCTTTACATCGATGAAGAAGAACTGTCACCACCACTGCCCCTGTCTCAATCTGTGGACCGACCCTCCAGCACAGAATCCGACTTGCGTCAGCGTTCCCTCAACTCTTCCCAGGACTACTGGTCACTGGCTCATAAGGATGACAAAGGAGACACGGACACCAGCTGCCGTAGTACACCATCTTTGGAGTGCCAAGAGCAGCGTCTGCGGGTGGACCACCTACCCTTACTGACCATTGAGCCTCCGAGCGACAGCTCGGTGGAGCTGAGTGATCGCTCCGACCGCAGCTCCTTGAAGAGACAGAACGCCTACGACCGGAGCCTCAGTAACCAGCAGAGCAGCCCCAAACAAATCGGCCACAGCCTGCCACCCCGAGGGCCTTCCAGAGACGATGATGCCACCCGCCATCGGCCACGGCAACTGGAGGCCCACCTGGCCATCAACGGCACCGCCAACCGGCAGAGCAAGTCAGAGTCTGATTTCTCCGACGGTGACAACGACAGCATCAACAGCACGTCCAACTCCAATGACACCATCAACTGCAGCTCCGAGTCCTCGTCCAGGGACAGCCTGAGGGAGCAGACGCTCAGCAAGCAGACTTACCACAAAGAGACTCGCAACAGCTGGGACTCGCCTGCATTCAGTAATGACATCATCCGCAAGAGGCACTACCGAATTGGCCTCAACCTCTTCAACAAGTACGTACATTCCACCACACGAGATCCGCTAACAGACTACTCACACAGATTCCGACACAATCTGATACATTTCTTGTACCTTGTACATTACATACTTAATGAGGCACAGAGGAGGTTAGATCCAGTTTATTCCTTGTGTTTTAGAACCCAACATGAAACTCCTGATGTTGATTGAAACACGACTATCTGTCTGTTCTACTTAAGGTGCAGACAAGCCTGGGACTCATTCTGCCCCGCTTCATGCAGAGCGATTCATCTTAGCCTCTGTGATTCCATTTAATCATAGATGATTGTGGATTTGGTTTGTTTTCCAGAGCCAGCCATTAAGTTCCTGTTAATCATTTGTGATGAACACCGCAGAGAAAAGTAGCTCCCTCCTCCCCACTCTCAGCCTTCATCCCGTTCCACCACCCTCCCTCCCTGCCTCTCTAAATCCTGTCCCTGATCTGACACACATTTGGCCACGGGCAGAAGTGCAGTGGGATAATCACAGATTTTGGATTGTGTCCTATTTCTCTCTATCTCTATCTCTCTACCCTCTCCTATGTATCCAGGAAACCAGAAAAAGGCATCCAGTATCTGATAGAGCGAAACTTTGTTCCGGACACTCCAGTGGGTGTGGCCCACTTCCTGCTCCAGAGGAAAGGCTTGAGTAGGCAGATGATTGGCGAGTTCCTGGGTAACAGACAAAAACAGTTCAACCGAGATGTCCTCGAGTGAGTTTGCAGCGAGTTAACATCTTTGTACTCTTTGACGCACTTGTATGTGCAGAAGGATCGTTTTTTTTCTCAACCCTGAAATTCTCAAAAACAGGCTTTTGATTTGTCTTTGTAAACGTTGCTAGTGCACAAAATTTAGTTTTATCTTCCTCCCTGGAACATGAACATAAATCATCATTCAGTTGTAAATATGGTCGCCAATTTGCAAGCAGCACTCTTTGGTTTTCCTGAGCACTACATAATGACTCATGTTACATCCAGGAAATAAACAGAAATGGAATCCACTCAGGAAATTGCTGTGATGCTCAGATAAACACACAGACTACATTTATATCAGGGTAGCGGAAGAAATAGGTTCCAGTGTACCTACGTGGCATTTGTTTTTTTTGGAATCTGTATTTTTAGGACCCTAATGATATCATGTTGCAAAGGTCAACTAATGGCCCATGGGGTTCATTTAGCGCCAATCTTGAGTTAACGTCCACACCAGTGGCGAAAAACTCTTTGTTTTCATATACAAAGACAGATGAACCTACTTTTCCATATAATTTTGACACCAGGAATCAAATGGAAACACCACTGACATGGTAAAACCATTCTCTATTGGTAAAAAAATAAGTACATAACACATTTTAGGCTCATAACAATATAACTTTTGCTACTTTGTATGTTGTCTGGTTAAGGCGTGGACATCAATTCAAGATGGCCGCCACATGAACCCAATGGGCCATTAGTTGATCTTAACTAAGCTTAACTAGAAACCATTAGGGTCCTAAAAATACATGTGGAGGAAGTCATAAAGATCTCCTGTTTTCCAATAGTGATTCTCAAATAGTGCCTCTACTTTATGCCTTTGACTGGGCAGACTTATCTGAAACACACTCCAGCAGCGCTGTCAGAGCTGATTGAGATTCAGAGGAGGATAAGGCCAGGAAAGGTCCATCAATGTCAGTTTGACAAGCATATCTAAAGGGCTCCTTGAGAAAATGTCTATAAATTCTGACATGAACGGTATCAAGGTATCAGGGCTCTGGAGAGCCGAGTCACACTCCTCACTCCAGCGTCGGAAAAAGTTCTCAGGTACTTTATTGAAGTAGAAGTTTCAATATCACAGTGGACAAAGTCCTGCACTAAACAGTGGGGAAATGAGGATTGTTACTTTAAAAGGTTGTGGTGACGAAGCGACAAATAATTATCCCCCGGCTGTGCTGTTATCCTCGGCTCTGTGGAGCGTTTTTGTCAATTCCAGGTCGTTGATTTTGGTTCAGTCTCACTGCTCTCATGAAAGTCATTTCCAGCAGCAGGCTGCTGTTTTTGGCTAAAAGAAATATCTGATAAATCCACTGTATGCTACTTGTCCAATACCAAACCACAAACAGGCATAGTTAGTGATAGCTAATGAAATAAATGGAGCATTTAGCAACTAAAGAGCCAGTTGATGGACACCAAAACAGAGCTTCAAGGAGAGTGAATATTTGATCTACATTCATTGATCTGGTTGCCTGAAACAGGACTCCAAATCAATGCTAATGTTGCTTCCTGTCTACTGTGTGGGTAAATTTGCAACTGTTCGCTAACTCGTTAGCCATAACAAGGTGATAATATGTCTGTGATGTGTTGCGCTTGTCGCGGAAATTATTAGTACTGCTTTAAGTAAAAGCAATAAAACACTCAAATTTTAAAAGTTCAAATTTTAAAAGTTTGAATTGTTAAAAAAGAAAATGTCTACAATAAATTGTGTCATTGAGCTGAAACAAGGCTGTTTTCTACAAGCAGCAGCTGTGTTTATTTCATGTTAAATTTGAAAATTAGCAAGGAACTGTAGCCACTCATTAGGGGCAGTTATACAGTGCTGAATCCCATCCAGCTTTCTGAATTTGAAAAGACTGATCTTCCCACTGCCCGCTGTGTTTTTCACCAGCTGTGTGGTGGACGAAATGGACTTCTCCGCTATGGAGCTGGACGAAGCGCTCAGGAAATTCCAGGCACACATCAGAGTGCAGGGTGAAGCACAGAAGGTCGAGCGGCTGATCGAGGCCTACAGGTGAGAAACACTGGGGACACAACGCATGGGTTCATCACTCAAACCAGTGGAGACGCAATGATGGATCATGGACATCATTTTCCACAGCAAGGAGGAATAAAGGGATGTTTTTGCAAATAAGGTCTTACATCAGCTTCGACCAATTGAGAATTACATGAGAGGATGATCATTACCGGATTCATTGCCATGTCTAGTATTTACACAGCGTGTATGGATAATGGATAGCACAAGCTAGCTTGCAACATGTCACATGTCCAAATCATAGTAGGCTGTATATAATGATGGACGAAATGACAATCGCCCCAAAAGTGAAACCACAACATCTTAATGGTGGCTGGTTGTAGTGTAGATTTTCATAAAAAGACGGTCTCCATCATTTAAAGTAGTTTGTATTACGCTGATGTAAATTCAAGTGTTCAATTCTTTTATAAGTTTGGTTTTAATTTATTATTTAATGCCATAAAAAGAGGATGTGACGTCATGATTGACAGATGAAGCCGCATAGAACGTCTTGTGTGTTCATATCAGTGTCAGCAGACACAGGTGTTTCAGTTCAACAAGTGACCGTGTTAACTGGTGACTTTCAGCCCAATGTGTCCGTGGTTGCTCTTGGGAACTCACTTAAATAGATAATGCGTAGAAAATAAACACAGATGAATCTGTATTTGAAATTGATTGAAAGCTTTTACGAGGACACAAATTACCAAACCTTTTTTACTGTTGATACACGGAAGAGCCAACTTGGATTTCGAGGTCGGGGATTTCCGACAAGGAACTCTGAAATTTGGTGTTCCCAGTTCAAATGCAACGTATTGTAATGCATCCGCAGGGCGTCTCACTCTAACAAGCTAACATGTGCTCTTTTTGCGATTGGCTCAGGCGGGTGTACAGGCGGGACCTGGCGCAGACTCTAGCTCCAAATGACGGCAAAAGCGCAAGATGGCAGCTGCCATATGCCTGATATTTTGGCTTCACTTTAATAAAGTGTGAGGAATTGGAGGCTATCTTTACACAGTATATGATCTTTATACAGTCAATGGTCTAAACACCATTGCCCTCTAAAACAGAGGTGACACCAAAAGTCACCATCTTTAACACTCTCCAGCACAAGAGCATCAGTGCAGAGTCATTCTAAATCCAGACTCTGTTCTTCCAGATCATTACAGAAACTCATTTAGAGGAAAGTAGTTCAAAAAGTTGAGGAAAACCTCCCTCAGGGCTGCTGATGGATGTTGTTTGGGATTCATTTAATTTCTCCAAACCTCTGGTAGAAAGGTGCTCTCATGCCCATAGAGAATCAGCTTCGATCAGTGCTGAGCAAAGGCATTTCGGGCCTCAGTAAACACCGCAGTCACTGTTACATTGTGGAGATAACGATAACGGATCATGTGGCTCATCCCCGGCAGCCCAGTCCAGATAATACCATGGACTCACTTTATGGTGGTTTAGAGAGCTGGTAAGGCTGCAGGCTGTATCGACAGTCCTCAGCGGTACTGGATCATCGTTCTTTAGGCTCGAGGCTGTGACGCATTATTCAAATGTATGTGATCACAGCTCAGATAGTGGAGGGCTCGATATCAATACTGATATTCCCGCCAACGAGCGGAACTAACAGGGATGGTTACTGATTTATTTTGCCTTGAAGGAAAGTCTTCATATTGATGCTTTGTCCTTTAATGGTGTTCAGATGTTACTGTGTCCAACTTTAGTTTGAGTTTTCCCGCTGTGTGAAATAAAGTTTAAACTATGATGATATCAGGATACTTAAGATAAAAGCTTTAGCTTTAAATATCCATAGTGACAGGCCAATAAGTGTGCACGTGACGTTAACCGTTGACGAAGCGGGCACAATAACAGATGTGTCCGCAGTGTGGTCCTGGTTGAGTATTTTCAGGATCGTTTTAAGGCTGTTAAAGTAGGATTATTTGGTTAATCTAAGTTTGAACATGTAAAATAATTATCACATGCGTTACATGCAACCTAAGGTGAAGTAGTTTTCCTAGTTTTGACCAGTGAACGGGCACATTTATGAAAAGCATTGTATTAGCAGTGGGACTAATAATATCATCATTCCACTACAGGAGAGGCTTGAGTTTGTATTCCATGAAGCTAGTTAGCCTAGCTTAATAACACCCTATATTTCTTCCAGTTGAGTATTCGTTGATCAGATCCAGGTCCAGATATTTTGATGGCAAACAACCTTCCTGGTAGTTATTTGTGTTGGAAGCAAAACCTGCCCACAGAGATATCTTACCGATCAAGTAACGGTACCGCCGCTGTAAATCAGCACCAAAACTTCTCCCCCACAACAAACAACATAAGGGATTTAAACACAGCAGAAAAATAGACATTTGTCATTTCTTCTTTCTGGTAAATAGAATTTTAACAAAATAACTGCACCATTAACAACAAATAGCAAAGAAACGTCTATTGATTTCTTGGCAAAAATACGATTTTAAAGTTTCCGTGTCCAACATCCTCTCTGCAGCCAACGCTACTGCATCTGCAACCCCGGCGTGGTGCGGCAGTTCAGGAACCCCGACACCATCTTCATCCTGGCCTTTGCCATCATCCTCCTCAACACGGACATGTACAGCCCCAACGTCAAGCCAGAGAGGAAGATGAAGTTGGAGGACTTTGTCAAGAACCTTCGAGGTACTTTGTCCGGCTTACTGTCACAAAAGCATGATTATCTTTAGACGCTGGATAAACATTCACTTCAAATTAAGTTTTGTGCATGCATTTTGCTTTGATTAATGGCCGTGTCGATACATTTTTTGGGGTTTTTTTTGGAAGTTGTGTCCAAGAGAGCTTTGCTGGTAAGGCAAATCTCTTTTTAGTTGCCCTCGACAGATTTTGAGGGTATTAGCGGGGGCTTTACGGCATGGCTAACTCATTTCTGAGTAATCAGTAATTAAAGTACAGTATTGAGTGGACAAATGTTTGTCCTCAGAGAGCTAGAAGGACATCTCTGTCCGCGCTGTGAGAAATGTGTGCAGCGCAGCAGTGTGTAGGTAAATTCAAAGGGTTCATCAACTCTCATAAATCTCTGAATTAATCATTAATCCTTCTCTCTCTCTCTCTCTCTTCTCCTCTCATCCTCTGACAGGAGTGGACGACGGGGAAGACATCCCCCGAGAGATGCTGGTGGGGATTTATGAGCGGATTCGCAAGCGGGAGCTCAAGACCAACGAAGACCACGTATCCCAGGTCCAGAAAGTGGAAAAACTCATTGTCGGAAAAAAGCCGGTGAGTTTGAGCTTGCCCTTGTGGGGCCCGCCGCGCGTAGATTGTGGCCGCTTTCATCTCACCCTCCATTCAGGAGCTGAAACTAATGGGGAGCGTGCTGTTCCAAATTACCCAATGTACCCTCTGGGCTGTCACAGAGAGCGACGGTTTTCTTCACGGCCGGCGTTCTCTAAAAAAAAAACGGAAAAGAAATGAAAGAGCGTTCTTTACCTGAGCCTGCTCTCTTTGCTGTGTGACTCATCGATTATTCGGGCCCCGGAGCCCTTCATGCTGAATGACTGTAATACGTCTTTTGCCCTGAGAGCGAGCCAAGGAAAGTGCCTCCTGCCAAGCTCCGTAATAATGAATGAGATAAACAGCCTCGCGCCATATAATCATGAAGGTGTTTTTACCTCAGCCCTTCCTCTCCCTCCATTCATGCCCTTTCTATCAAACCAACTCTCCACTTTTGGTGACGCAAATCAGCAGAAGTCCAAGGGACCATGGCGACGTTGTGGTCATAAAGCTTGAGGTACACAGCACACGGCACTAATAGATGGATTGTGAGGAAAGCATATAGTTTGTTCCGCGATCCATAAAACTAGTTTTCCCAATTCTAAATTTGGCCCATTTCTCTTGTTGATTGTTTTGATGTATCGCAAATATAAAAGTCGCCCGTATGTGTTCACTGATCCCTGTAAAATGACTTGTATGTATTTCTCCCTCCACAGATTGGCTCGTTACACCATGGTCTGGGCTGTGTGAGTATTACTCTTCCTGTCATCTGAATCTAAATGTTTGAGTGGAAATATTTGTAAAATATTTTAAAAAGCCTTTCTGCAAACATTGTGGAACGTATATAAGTTTTGATCGTGTGCACAGGTGCTTTCTTTACCCCACCGGAGACTGGTCTGTTACTGCAGACTTTTTGAAGTACCCGACCCCAACAAACCTCAGAAGTTGGGCCTTCACCAAAGGGAGATCTTCCTCTTTAACGACCTGCTGGTGGTAAGGCAGACATTAGTCTTCCGGGCACACTGAGAACACACTCATTCACTCATTCACTGAAAGAGTCTAAACCAGTTTATTTTTTTTCATAGGTTACAAAAATTTTCCAAAAGAAGAAGAACTCTGTGACGTACAGCTTCCGGCAGTCCTTCTCACTTTACGGCATGCAAGTGCTGCTCTTTGAGAACCAGTGTAAGTGGAGTGTTTGCTCTCTCTAAAGGTGTCAGTATGCTTCAAACAAACTAGTATGTACTAAAACATAAAAAATGGTTATGGTGGTTCAGAAGGGCCACACCACAAAGCAGTTTGGACTCTGATGTCAAAAAAGTTACGGAAGGATGAGGTTTCAGACGGTGTTCAGTGATCAAACAAGGGTTTCGTTTGAAGCATACTGACATCTTAAAGCTGCAGTTGGTAACTCTTATTGAAAAAAAATATGACTTTTTGTCATATTTACTCAAACTGTCACTATGTCGTATAGTAATACACAAGACAGATAATCTGTGTAAAAATCTGATTCCTCCGCCTCCTTTTAGGGTTTTAATGGTATTTGTAAGATTCCACCACGCTCGAAGGACATCAGCCAATCAGAGCCGAGGAGTCTCTAACGCAGCTGTTAATCACTGATCCTGAACTGTCGACCTATGCAACGCTGATCAAATATTTATCAAGGTTCTGATACTGCATTGCCTATTTCTTGCCTTAAATGTTTCGATCAAAGTTTAGAGCTTTGTGAGCAGTGATTGACAGCTGACTTCTCGTCTCTGATTGGTTGTTTTACTTCGGGCACGGTGAAATCTTGCAAATGTCAATGAGTACTAAAAGGAGGTAGAAGAACATTACGGTTTTTTTACAGATTATCTGTCATGTGCTACTGTGAGATAGGATAAACTATGATATAAAAAAAAAAAAATGACCAACTGCAGCTTTAATGGTTGCAGAAGTTGACTTCTGTAGACTTCTGTGGTGGTTTGTCTATTTTGTGTGACCTCAGGTTAAAGCGTTGATTTCCTGGCCCTTTAGATTATCCCAATGGAGTCCGTCTGACCTCAGCCATTCCCGGAGCTGACATCAAAGTCCTCATCAACTTCAATGCACCCAATCCTCAGGACCGTAAAAAGTTCACTGACGATTTGCGAGAATCTATCGCTGAAGTCCAAGAGATGGAGAAGTACCGGATAGAATGTGAGCATGTTTTTCTCTACATATCTGTGCTCAGCAATTACCCATCCTTCAACCTACACTATGGTCTGTTTAAATGTGAGACTACAACAGAGAGAAGTCTGGGTTGCTGTTAACGTTGTATATGTGTTTCCAGCTGAGCTAGAGAAGCAGAAGGGCGTGGTGAGGCCCAGCATGTCCCAGAAGGAAACGGGCAACGGCAACCTGAGCCGAGCGAGCCTCGACGACAGCTACGCCGTCAGCGAGGGTTTGAAGAGAAGCGCCCTCAGCAGCTCCCTACGGGACCTCTCGGACGCAGGTAAAAACAGGGGTTGCCATGGTGACATACCCATCTCACAAAAGTAGAGTGTACAAAGCCGCACCGCTGGCACGACACTGTTTACTCCCTGTGGTCGATAATCAATTTGGAAGAAGCCGAGTTCCTGTTCCTGTCCGGTTTTGATTTGGGTGGCAGCCGTCTTAGTTTAACGCACCCTCTGAGCCATGAAGCCGGTGAAGCACAGAGACAGAGATGGGTGTTCTGCTAATGGGCCCAGGTGTAATTCACTGGAGGCCATCGACTGATAATCCTTCACCGCCGGCAGGGGGGAGGAGGCAGCACTATGTAGGTCACTGTGGTCAATTTCAGCGTCTGAGCGGTAAGAGGAATTAATGTTGTCCGGTTGATTCGGGCCGTGGAGAGTCGCCTCGACACAAACACACACTCAGGGACCTGAGCAGAGGGTTCGGACTAGCGGAGCAGTGGTAGGTGCTTTTGATGATCTTTGAATGAGACGCAACACGTTCGAGTGGCAGTCTTTATGGGGTTTTGGAGGCCTACAGTTCCTCAAGGGGCTGTTTGTGCATCACTCAGTTAAAATCAGTCTACAAGATTTTAGGTTTGCTTCACGTAAAAATTGACTTGTTATGTTTTAATGCAGTTTCCTTGACACTTAAAGGGGAACTCTACCGACTTAACAGGTTTACACAACGTCAGTTTGCCAGTAGTCGGGAATGTAGTCTTCTGTGTCTAACAAAATCACCCTGATGATGTCATAAGCCGTGTTACCATTCGTTATGCGTATTTTGATGAAAAGCTGTATGGAAACGGCAACATTCAATGAAAGGTTTTTACGCTCACTCAGTGTTTTTTTTGACTTATTCAAAAAAGTGTTGATGTGCTGAATGGAGTATGGCAGGGGGGGGGGCCAAACCCCTTTTTTGATTCAGTTTCCAGTTACACTGCAAGAAAATCAGTGTTTCTTGACCAGAAAACCCCATGTGCCATAGAAAATTCATTTTCTATCAAAATAACTTTGCAACACTACTAAACCGCATGACATTACTATAGTTCATTGGTGTGCCCACATATTACAAAAAGTATTTCTGTAGCTCCTGCTCTTATATCTTATTTAAATGAATGCAATACTTTTAGACTCTAATACAGAACATGGCCTAAGTGTCCACTTAACATATTGTGATGGTTTAAGCAGGCTGAAATTGCCTAATATTGGATTCTGTTCATGGCCTAGCTGCCGTCCTAAGATTAAGATGCAACTATAATATGTAAATATGTTAATATTTAGACATAGTTGGCATTAAACACAGCCAACACTATCCGACATGAAAGAAAAACTTGCCCATTTGAAACACAGCCCTGAAGAACTCCATCCATGTTCCTCTTTTAGATGGTTAGATGGCCAAGCCGACTTGTTTCCTGGTTCACAGCCTCTTCTTCTGCTGTTCACTGATGGATTACAGTCATGCGTGGCCTTTAGCGCCAACTTCTGGCAAACTACGCTGTAGCCGAGCTTATAGAAATGTGCCTAATTTGCATTTCTTTCTTCTGCGAAATATTTGGTGATAATTTGAATGGAAACATGGCTGTCGTGACGTTATCGGGATAATCTCAGTTTGGGTTTGGAGACTACAAATTTAAAAGAAGGCTACAAACAGGAAGCCTCAGTTAGAAACTGGAGGCGTGAAGTTCGAAAAGTGTGAACATTTACCAGGTGGGAAGTGTCTGATAAAATGTATCATTTGGTTGCATTGTGGCAAATGTAGGACACAGTGTATTTCACTCATTCTCGGGACTAAAATGAATTAAAGGATATCTCGGCCTCTGCTGCTTCGATTTTGCCCATTCTTTTTTTTATTTGTCCTTTATGAGTCTTGCAAGTTAACGGGGGTGAAATGCTAAATTGCCAAAGTATCCCTTTAATGCAGCCGGATTGCAATTGTTTCACTAATGGCAAGTGTCTCCAGCCGGCTGTGTAGTCACTGAGTAAAACCTTCTTGTGGAGTGGTAGCAGTGCCTCGCTTTTTTCCTTTTCTCCTTTACTCCCTACTCGCCTCCCTCTGACCGGTCTGCTGCTAGCTTAGCCGTGTGCCACTGTTGTCACCTTAGGGTGCTAGCGCCCCTCCCCCTCCGCTGTAGACAGAAGAGATGTGTGCACCATCACGTGTTAACCGGGTGTGTCTAATCTGTCATGTTGCATGTTCTGGGCAGGCAAGCGTGGGAGACGCAGCAGTGCGGGATCACTAGACAGCAATATTGAAGTAAGTAGGACGCAACTGACGCCGAGCTGACTTTGTATTGTTCAATCTGAACGCGCAAGCCTCTGTTTTTGTTTTGTTTTGTTTATTTGTGGTTTGTGTTTGGTTATCTTCCACTGTTTTTGGTGAGCATCTTGGTCACTGTGCATGCAATGGGAATGATCCGCCGCGGCCGACACGCATCTTAACCCTGGATGTGCACGGCATGACACGACTAATACTACCCCTGACTCACACTAGGGCTGCTCTGTGTTGATTGGTAGACTCCCACCTTTGAGTCATCCTCTCGTGTAAGCGGGTTAGAGTTCTAGCCATTTCCTGAATTTCATCCTTTTTTGTTTTGTTTTGTTCACTCCAAGTGAACCTGGATGTGCTTTTGTCAGTTCCAGCTTCTGCATGCTCGCACAGTTTGAAGTGGCTCATGACCTCCACCCTCTTCCTTTTGCCATTGTCACACTTAGCCAGCAGTGTACTGCAGTGAAAGAATCCTAGCATGACGGCACAGATGATTCACAGTTAATAAAAACTCTGTCAAGCCATCCAACCTCTGTGATCAGGGCCATTTGTATATGGCTAGCTGAGTTAACTGTGGTTGATTTGACACAAGCCTTGTTCAGTTCTTCAGTGCCAGTTCGGATACAGAGCTTCGGATATAGAAATGCTTTCATAAACAGTTAAAAGTGCCTCATAGTAACTTGAAAGTAAGAACACATCATAACTCAACACTCTCTTTTGGATCTAATAAGTCATCGGTGAGGTGAGGTGCCTGCGCGGGGCCCAAATTATATTAAAAGACGTTACCCTGGCGAGCGATACAGAAGTATTGGCTGAGGTACCACCAGAGTGCACATCAGCTTCTTTCCTCAACTCATCCTGCGTTCTCCACCACAGAAATAGTTTTTAATGAAGATAAAATAACCTTGAACCTTTATAGTTTAGCTTGCATGTTGTGCATGGCTCCCGAAAGATTTGCTTCATTTCTTTAACATAAACTTTTGTTTTGGTTGTGTATTTTGTTATTCTGTGTTACTGTGCCCTATGAAGTTTTTTTTTTTTCATCTTGCTGAGTGGGACTTTAGAAACATCAAACCACATCAGTTAACTGAGTAGTGCACTTTTGGTGACTCCGAACTTGACAGTTGAAAAACGGTACTGCATACAAATGTGTGTCCTGTATACAGGCTGCAGCTTCAGATCGCTCTATAAACACTCTAAAGTGGGGCCACATGGAAATCAAAAGGGGTTACTGTAACTTTGGAAAGCAGATACATTAGTGACGGTGCAGATACGGTGTATGATGGCTCAGGGTGATGTTTTTCTCACGACAAATATGTCTTTTGGTCCATAAATAACTGCCGAAATATGAATCTGCAGCAAGTATACCTTCACTTGTATCTGCTGTGTCGCACTGGACAGCAAGAGTAGACTCTGCCCTGTGTCTCTGCTGAGCTCTGACCGTCTTCTCTCTTGCAGGGGTCCATCATTAGCAGCCCTCACCTGCGCCGGAGGACCCCCTCGGGCCGAGACTGCCCGTCCCGCCACAGTGGCCAGTCCCTGCCCAACTCCTCCTCGCTGCTTGGAACTCTGTTCGGTACCCGGCGGGTGAAGTCCCCCAGCCCCACACCGCAGGCCCTGCACCCCACCCTCATCTCCCACACCCCTCACCCCGCCAACCTGCACCACACGGCCCGGTCGGACACGGACGCGCCGGCCTCTGCGCACCCTCACCACGCCCAGTTCTGCCACGCGACCCAGAACCCCCCGCCTTACCACCACCACCACCACTACAACCCACCGGCCCACCTGCAGCACCCACCGCACCAGTACCACCCGGCGCCGTCTCACGGCCAGCAGCCGGCCTACCCGCCACACCCCCATGCCCACGGGAGCCACCCGCCGCACCCCTCCCACCCCGCTCACGGGCCCCACCACCACGGCCCACCGCTGGCGCCCTCTCAGGCACCCAGCAGCACCAAGCCCAAACACAGCGGCATCAGCACCGTGGTCTGAGGCGCACGGAATGGTGGGGGGTGGGGGGGAGCTCTCTGACTGAACTCTTGATTTTTTAAAATCCGAGACTAACGAGACGTTTGCACTGTGCATCCGCCGGTCTGGGGATGTGAAGCCAGACGAGATCCTGTGCCGCCTTTGGCATTTTTTTGTTTCGTTTTTTGTTACGCTCGGGGCAGCGTATTCAATACAAACACATCTCCTCTCCAGTCGCTCCCTTTCATTTCATCTCACAGGTCACGCCTGGCTGCCTCTAGAGCAGCAGACAACGACGCAAGAGCATGCACAAAGACCACGACTACTGTTCCTCCTCAGTAACTTCAATTGACACGATCTAATATCTTGCTCGCAGGTATTTTACAGAAGATTTAACCTAGTGTGTGTGTGTGGGGGGGGTGGGTGGCGTGGCTGAACGGACAGAACGGTCATCCTCAGCCGTACAGTAGCCGTACCAGTATTTAATGTAGCGGTAGCTCACAGTGCACTGTGATATCTCTGTTAGCAGCGATAAATGTGCCAATTATGGAAGCATTTACTAATTTAGTCACAAGAATTGCTTTGTGTATATTGTGCATAGTGTTTTGTAAAATGATAATATCAACTGTTATTATTATATTATTACAGAACAAAACAACGTTGATTATAACTCTCAGTATATTATACTGGCACATAGCTGGCGTATTTTCACTGTTAAGAACCCGATCAGAGCTTTTATTAGTGGGGCAGTTAGCGAGGACGGTGCTGTGAATGGTTGCCTTTGACTTAGGATGAGATTGTCGAAGGCCGCTGCAGACTTTGACGTCCAACCGCGCTCGTCTTTGGTTTCGTATTTGTCTCTCAGCCACAACGAGCCGCCGCGCAAAACAGATTCACCTGAATGTCCGCCATCATTTTATTTTTTTAAAACAAAGGTTTTCTTGGGAGTCCAATGAACGCTCCGGACTGGACTGCAGCCTGGTGGGGTCGTGGAGGAGGAGGAGTTTTTGTTTTTCCCGGAAGCTGACAGAGTCTGCGCAAACCGTGTAGCGGGGTCTTTAACGTCCCTCCCTGAATGTGGAAGCTCTCAGCTGGCTGAGTAGTCCCCTCTTCGGTTTCACTGCGCGTCCCACAGAGCGGGCGCCTCGACCACAGTGGCAGAACATCAATAATTATCATTCTGCGACGGCGCTCGGCCGCATCGGTTCACTCACCGGGAAAGGCAGTTTTTATATCAATCATCCTTCTGACATATTACCGGACGGCCGTCCCGTCTGTGGCGTGTGCAGAGCGGAGGCATAGGGGGGGGGGGGGGTGCTGGAGCATATTTTCTGTTGAAAAGTGACAGACACAGCACCTGTTTGTTTAGTTGATATCAATGGCAGAAGTTAGTCTGAATCTGTTTGAAGACTAAAAGATGGATTTTTTTTTTTTTACTGGTATGTATATGTATTTACTTTTTTTGTGTCTCAGAGCTATTTCAATCCGGTTGTTCCATTTTGTTTGGTTCTATTAGAGTTGTCCCCCCGCCCCGAACGTCCTTTGTCATTCCTTCCCTCATGTTTCAGTCGAGTGCAAGTATCCACAGGGGATTCGGATGGACTGGACCTTCCACGCTGATAAAGAATGTCAAAGAAAAATCATTTTGCATGTAACAATGTCTTTCCAGGCTATTTTCTAACTGTCGTGTATTCCCAAACTATATCAATGTTGCAGTCGACAGTTGTTAAAAACAAAAAAACAAAAAAAGATGAATGATAGAATAGTTTTGACTTCTTCGATTACAGCTAACAGAAGTCAACTAAGTATTTGTGTCACTCCAGAGGACAACAACAGCCGTATCGTTTCCTGATGCGCGCGCAGCAGTCCGCCGGATCATTGGCGTACAACGGGAGTCAAAGCTGTGGGAGAGGAGGTAGAGCGATGAGGGACGTGATCTCCATAATTTACCACCCATCTCAGTCAATGGCTCACACGTTACTGTCCACTGATATCCAGTAGATATGTCAATACTTCTGTCGTAAGGCACCACCCTCTGAAAAAGTACCCCTCATAAAGGGTTAGACTAAGAAACTAATTTGATTCATCGATAAAGTTAAGTAATCTTTGAATACGGAAGCAGAAAGTAGATGGCCCGCAATTTTTTTTTCTTGCTGTTATCTCGAGATCACCAGTTAATTGTTTCGTAATGTCGAGAAAACAAACTTTGTCCTATCGAGATAACGACTTTATTATCTTTTTAAATACAGTCTTTTTATATTATATTTTTTTATAGACAGGCTTCTCTACGGTCAGCTCGATCCGGGTCGATTGAATGCATTGACCATTAGCGCCAGTAAAAGAGTGCACTGGGTAAAGGCTTGACTGCAGTCGGCATTGTCCTCCTAGTCTCTGATAAATTCAAGTATTAAGAGGAAGCAACCTTTTTTGTTTTGAAAGTTCATTTTCTCGAGAACTTGTGTTCTGAAGATAACAGCATTGAAAAAAATAACTGCTAGCGCAACAGCTCTCGGCTTCCGTAGTTTAAATGCATTAATGGTTGATAAATAATTTGCTTTACACATCAATAATATGCCATTCATGAGAACAATTTTTGGGTTGCCATGTTTTGAAAATATCCCCTTTGGCTGTTGTTAATCCTCCAGCAAATGCTAGTAATACCTAGTTTACACTGTACGACTTTAGCCTTTCATTTTACTCGCCGTTTTTGGAACTCCCGGACAAAAAAACTGAAGATCCTCAAGATCAAAGGCAAATTGGAGTTGTCTCTGTGCTCAATCGTTATGTGTGAACTGTTCTGTTTATCAACAGATTATTACTGATATATAAAGCATTAGTAAAGTATTTATACATCATTACTGAAGCCTTTAGTTACCACCTCTAAACCCTTTATAAAAGGGTACCTCGTAGACAGTGTTTGCCATGATCCAAAATGTACTCAGCCGGCTTTATGTACTGTAGGCTCCCTAAAACCTAACATTTGAGTTTGACTCTAAATTTGTCAAATATACAGCATTTAATCCAGCGTAGTTTAGGTGTCTATGGAGTCACAAAAGTGCCAATACTACATGGTCATTACATTTCAAATCGGTTTTCTACCAAAATGAAATGGTCCCAGCACAATGCCCACAGTTGACCGACCGAAAACTTCTGTCTTCAGACCAGAGTCTGATTACCAGCCAGTTGTAACGGCATAATGGTGCAAACGGCAGCCAAGAAGAAACCTACCTTCTTCTATTGGCGGCCCCCAGAATTATGTCCAATCACAGTGTTCTCAGTCACAACCCAGCAGTTATTTCAGGCGACTGATCAATCGAAAAAAAAACTGATTCCGTGTGAGGTGTTTTGTCGCATGCCGTTGATGCCTACCATTTCTTTTCTCTCTCTCTCTCATTTTGTTTTGTTTTAAGTGTGGTTCTATCGAGCGGTGGGCTTGTATCGCCCCTAAACTTTCAGCATTGATTTCTCTGACTGATGCTCGTTTCATTTTTGAGAGATTTCTGGCCCTATAAGTGTGTCTTTTCATTCCAAGTTGTGACATCTTACTCCCGGCATGCATTTCACCTCTATTTCCACTGTACAGTACAAAGACATGGCGGTACACTGCTGGGTGTAAATAGCAAATCCATCTGGGGGGAACATGAAGTAAGTCGATGAAGAGGCTCTGAAAGGGAGGTGACGTGTTACGGGTGTGTGGGTAGCAAAAACCAATGAGATAAACACATGTAAATAGCCTGTAAATAATGATAATTATTATTACTTCTACTGCTCGGTGTCTGCAGTTCCATTGAAGGTGCATTCCTGCTCCCCTCTGATATTTACATAATCATCAACTGCTTTCTCTCTGCCTCCGACCGGGACTGAATTATCATAGGGATGTAGAGCCGGCTATGTTACGCGGTTGACGCGGCTTCCGGCTCATTTTCCGGAGACGCTCCTGTTCTCTCGCACTCACGGCCCATTTTTGGGAGGTCGAATGGAAGGGAGGAGTGCTCCTTATTTTATTACGCATTCTGTTTCTAAGTAGACAACACCCTATCGATGTAAAACTAGTACTGTGACGATGTTGAGAAACGCAAAATAAAACGATATATTGTAAAACCTGAGCTGAGTGGCCCTGCTTTGTCAAGGAGTGCAATTTATTGGATTGACTTGAGTGAAGTTGAATGATGGCTTTTCTACCCACGGTTGCACAGGGCTTTATCTACCTGAAGGTGGTTCTACAGTCCTTGGACCATGCATACCTTTTTCTACCTTAAAAAAGCAAAAAGTCCTGACGTTCTTTAGGACCCCATTACTATCTGAAAGTGGTCCTTGGATCCTAGAACTGCACTTACTGTATACGTAGGTCTTTCTACCTAAAAAGGGGAAATAGTATTAGAATCATAGAACCACAATTAAAGCATGGCCGATAATTCAATACGATAATGTAGCGTCTTTAAATGGAATCACCGTGATGAAATTGTGTATCGCAATATCGTGATGCGCGATTATATCGTCTTAATGGATAATAACAAGCACATGCTGACTCAGCTTTCTCAGACGATCTGAGATGATGTGGATTCCGCTCCATGGATGTACCCCCGTGAAGTTCAATGAAACTATTGTCTTCTATCGGATCACCCTGTGCTTGTGTGCATTCGGTGGTCATGAGTCCAAGTTCCCATTAGCGCTGCAAATATATATGGCTTCTGAGGCTCCAGAATGTTTAGGTTTTTACTAGAATAAAAGTTCTTGAACTGGGGAAACCATAAAATCCCATTTATGTGCGCACTAACATTGCTATCTACTACTACTACTACTGTTACTCTAATGCAGTTGAGTAAATGTTCTTCTGTTAGCTTAATATTCAATACAGATTATTGATGACTACATTTACTTGGTCTGCAATTAGAGCAGTCCAGATAATTATGACATGGATTCAAATGTAGCAGATTTGTCAGCCTCGACATTCTTTCTGAGCTCTACTCAAGCTTAAAGCTAAAAACAGGTGTCGAGATTAGTTATTCCTACCCTACCTATCCTATGTATGTTAAAAACAGTAACATCTGACAATATTTTAGGTGAGAGGAGTACACTAGTCCTTTTCAACATTTGTTATGTTATGGTTTCAGAATACTGAAGATAGTTGGAGAACAATTAGATAAAAACAGGATGTATGCTCTACAGGATTTTTTTTTTCCATAGGCAACTATCATCTTACATTTTAGGTATTGTATTATCCAAAATAGTGCATATACTGTAGCTGGTGTGAGTGGGGAAATAAGAAAATCTCCCCAAAAGGAGGCTGTGGGGTGTTTGCGATGTCTGGCTCCGCTCTGGGCTTAAGCTGAGGTAAGCCTGATGACATCATACATTTTGAAGATATCCCTGCATGTGGTTTGAGGAGTGGTTACAGCACACGCCATATAACCGGAAACATCCCGGGTTCCACTCCGGCCTTAGGACCTATGTTATGTTGCATGTAATCCCCCCACTCTCCCCCATTTACACTGTCAACAACCAAACAACCAAAAATCTCTATATATCTGCATATTGTACTGAGGACATGACATCTGTGGCCACATGGTTTGTGTTCCACTCCTCCTCTAGCCATCCAACAATACAAAGGCTCTCTTCGGGGACACCGAGGCATCTGATATTAACAAACTCAACAAACTGCTGTGGATCCGCTGATGAAAGTCAATACAGCCGAAGGGCCTCGACACTGCTTCTCTTCTCCGTCTTGCACAGTCAACATGCCCGGCTGCCTGCCCTGACTGTGGCAGGTGGTCTGAGTGACAGCTCGCCCTGTTCGTCCGTCCGGCCCTTGAGGTTGGAGCTAAAAATAGATCCCCGGGCTTTTGAGGGGCCACTTCCTCGGTGTCAGCAGGACGACGTCATCATGCAGCCGGGGGAGGGGCCCGAGCACAGGGCTGCATTTCCTCTGCCGGCAGAGAATGGTTCGGGGCTACGTACCCCCTTGTGTTCTGTTAGACGATGATGCGTGCTACGTTGGTAATGGTGACACTGACAATATTCGTTGTTCGTATTATTATTTATAGCACCGGTGGGTTTACAGTGCATTTGAAGTCTGCTCCAGAGGAGGTTCAATGACAATAAGCTCTTGTCACAGCACAGCAGGGTCAACACAGGTGTAATTAATAACATTAGTGATGGTCACATTCCATTTAGTGTGTCACAGCCATTCCAGTGAGCCAGCATGCACAATACCAGAGCCCGAGCCCACCTAAATGGAACGGGGCCATCATTAATGTTATTCATTACACCTGTGTTGACTCTGCTATAACATGTCACAATTTCTGACATTTTCCTATTCTCTGTGCATAGGTGTAAGTCATCCCGGGCACGTGCTTATGTGCTGTATATTTATAAGTAATGTTTGTATGTTCCATGTCGTCGCCTCTACTGCATTATAGTTTCTTTGTAGATTGCTCCACCAAGTGGTAGCCTCGCGCCATTGTTATACGGTTGTTCTGTGTTTAGGGGCCATCAGAAATATCACCATAACGGGCATACTTGATATAAACGGACCGAGGAAGAGCCACGATCCGCCACATTTAGACAAGACTACTGAGGGCGATGTGTCATGTCCTCTCTTTTGTTTTAGCATTACCGTTAGAGTTTATATTTTACAATTAAAAGTTAACACTTTGGTTATACTTCACAGGCTGGTAAAAGTCATTTTGATACTCAATCTATTTAAATATGACTCAGCATTATACCATCATAATATGTTTTTCTGGTAGTTTAGAGAAGACGTTAAAAAAATTAATCTAGATCTATGTTTGGAGATATAATTGAACAATTAGCTGAGTAAATAGAACATGATAAACCTATGAAAATCCTGTCAATAAGGTTGGTGAGAGGGATATTTTTGCATTGTATTGTATTAAATATTTGCTTGCAACATTCTCTCTCGAAATAAATCAACAGCAGCGTTGATTGGACCCTCGCACCTTCACGCACGTCGAGGGTACTGGCAAGACTCTGGTTGACGCGGCCGTGCATTTCTGTGACCATCATACACTGCGTGCACGAGTTAGACGGTATTTCCTGCATGGATCAGCGGCGTAGCCAGCCAGGTCCTTTTGCCACATCTTAATCCTCAAAAGGTCTCAAAACTGACTGTGTGTTTATGCAGCTAGCTCTGACAATCACTGCTGAGTGACTCAAAGCGCGAAGAGTCGAGGAGAAATGGCAGACTGTATCGTTCTATGTGGAAAAAAAATGTTTTTGTAGAGAAATACTTCTAAGCCAAAAGGTGAGCCCATGAATTATGACCTATAATATGAATTAGTCTAAGTGCAGTTTGATTTTATTCAACAAACTGAAGTTGCATTAAATTACTTCACATTACAGCCTGTCTCCAAAACGAACAAAAACAATTCACTTAACTATTAATGAAAACTCCACGTACAAGCGCGATTTTAAACTATTGATATCCAATTTCTGCTCGCCAAACATCTTACTTTGCACATATTTAGATCAGAGAAGCCTTTTTCTGATGGTGTGCCCACGAATCCTTTTAATAAGTTCAGTGTTTGGACCACTGTATTGATAGTATCCTGCTTACGGCCATGGTTGTCAGTAGGTGGCGCTATGACTATGAGTTAATATTGGCATGCAGAAACCATGACTCTTTTCAAGCATGTCAAGATTGGGACAGTTTTGACAAAGTATAGTCGAGTTACAACAGCTTGATGGATGATGGCGAACCATGTAAAATGGCCGCCACACCACGTCAAAGCCGTTTCATGAAACCTCAAGCTTTTGCTAACTTTTAATCGCTAAGGTCTTTAGATTGTACTGCCCAAATTGGAAGTTGATCTGATCCCCAAATTTTCTACATCTAGGTGAAACACACTGCAAGGTCTGCATTGTTGAAATTTTGTAGGGGGCGCTATCGAGCCGACTTGCCACTCTGAAGCAATAAAATCATATCAGATAACTACAGTTAGGACTTTAAATGTGTGTACCATGTTTGGTTATGTTTTAAGCATTTTAGCCCCTCAAAAACACCTTAGTTTTGAGTCGCCACATGAGTCGCCACAGCAAAGTCATTCCATGAAAGGTCAAAAGCTTCGTGGGCTGGCATGATGAACGTCTTACAGTTGTGTCAAAAAACGTCATCAAATAAAAAATGGCCGACTTCCTGTTGGGTTTAGGACAGTGGCGGGCCGTGCATTTTATACCTGGGCATTCACTGCTGTCCTGCAGCTGAAACACAGCTACGGTTATTATTTGTTTCTTGTAAACATGAAGCCAACACCTATAGATCCACTAACTGCAGAGAATACGCCGAGACTGCGTCTCCTCTCTGCTCTGACTGCAGCTGGGACTGCTGCGCGAGGCTTCTGTGAGAGAGTCCACCTGTGAGTGCTTTGGGGCGGCGGAAGGGCTCAGGGCAGCATCAGCTGCTCGTTCACGACAGGACAGAACGTACGTGCTTTAACGTCAGAGTCAAGACACCAGAAAAGTCTCCAACAACACCAGAACAAGTCGCCATGAGGGTTTGGAAAGTTGCCAGATTTAGCGAGAAAGTCGGCAAGTTGCCAACACAGGCACCGGTTAAATATGTCCCCAGAGCAACATTGGACGTAAAAATGGTTCCTATCACATATTAAACCAAACAAAAATCCATCTTCATAAAAACAAGTTGTACAAATAATAATATATAAACAAGCACATTAAAGCTACTGCAGATGTAAAAACAAATGCATTTAACTTACCAGAGCTGCTGTTCACTATTTAAAGACAAAGTCCTCCTTTCTTTGTTAACAAAGAGTTTAATCTCACGGTTGTTCAGAACATCCGTGTGTTTTAGTTCCAGTAACAAGTCCTTCTTGATTCATGGACGCCAGTGAAGACAGTCGAGCCTCCCCAGTTGTATTTCTTGAATATGTTTTAATGCGTTTGAGGGCTGAGAATGTCCGCTCAACAGAGACAGCAGATATTGGGATTGTCACCGCCCAACATGTCACGCTAGCCCACTGACCAATCACGTACTTGTAGACCAGCTAGCAGGCTCTGGCACGTCAAAGAATAAACCCAAACATGTCAAACTAAAGATCTGATTGGTTGAAGACTATGACAA